TAGTTAGTGGGTCGCTATGGAAAATTTCAAGTCAAATGTATTAACGGTTTAAAAGTTATTCAAAAGTCAATAATGTTCTCATTTTTGGTGCCATAACACAGCAAATTTTCCATACTTAAAATCATCAATTTTTCCACTACAAAAAGTTCAATAACTTTTGATCCGCTTCACTTCAAAAAACTTCAGAATGACCCCTCATTTTTTGTCTTCTCAAGCTCTATACAATGACATCAATTATACTTGAATATTTGAATTATTAAAAAATCTTCTGGAATGGCTACATTTGGGCTGACATGTTTTATCATTACATAGCAGCCAGGGCCGGCGCGAGTAGGTGTCACGTTTGCCATTACATTTTGCCGACTATAAAAAAAAAAAAAAAAAAAAGGTCCTCGTTTTCAAAAATTTGCCGACTGCCATGACGACATTTGCCGACTGTCTAGATTATTGACTAACCTATAGCGATAGGGTTGACATTTGCCGCCTAACCAGTCTAAAAGGGTCCAATTTGCCGACTAAAGGTCTAATTTGCCGACTGAAAATCATTGATGAGGGGGGGGGGGGTAACACCCCCCACACCACTCTATCGCGCCGGCCTTGATAGCAGCTCGTCATTTATATCCAGAGGGCAAGAAATAATTTCGGTGTGTTTTTTATTATTATTTTTTTAAATTTAGTAATTTGCAGCAGGGATAAAAATTTCTTAAAACGTCGCTTTTTGTAGGCAAAGTACTGCAATCAATTTCGCGGGTTTGTCCTAATAAAATTATTTCAGTATTTGAACGTGTTGATATTGCCATTTTAAATTTAAAATGTTTTAAATGCAGCGCAATTTCAAAAAATTTATTATTTTATAATTTTTGCTGTGGTTATTACTCCGGCGGTGCAAATTAAAAAAAAAAAATTTCCCTAAAAACATACTGAATATAAAATATTCAAACTCCTAGAGAGGTAAGGAAGTTTAAAATTTTTCAAAAATTTTTCAGGAAAAGTCTTGTATAATAACATAGAATGGAAAAATAAGGTATCAAAGTTCTAGTTTTTCCAAACCCTAAAAATGGACCTGCCTAATGTTTATACTTCGTTTTCTCAAGTTAAGTTAGCTGATTTACATTGTTGTCTCAACTCTACCCCTCCAGCTGGGTCTCGAATTCTCAAACCTTAGAGTTTCATAATAACACAAAGCTCAATCGGTGTATTAATAAAAAGAAAATGCTTCGTTGCATCATTTGTTTATCTAGATTGAAAGATGTAAATAAAATAAGGAAGTACAAATTAATATGTAAAAAGCAAAAATGAAATTGTTATTGGGTATAAAATTATTTAAATAAGAATTATTTAATCTGAAAATCAGTTAAACCAAGTATTAAAGCAATAAGATTAAGGGTCAATAACTAACGATCTAATTGAAACTGTGGACATTATTAACAATTTAATGTTTGTTTAGTTAACAAACACTGAATTAAATACTAATTTAATTCAGTGTTTGTTAACGAAATACCTATTATCAATGCAAATGCAGTAGATTTTGATAACAGTATTGTTTAATACTGATGTATTTAAGGGCAAATATGTAAAAAACGCAATTTTTAAGGCGATAGGAAAACGAAATATAACATTTCTTTTTTTATCAGGTTCCAAATAAAGTATAGAACTTTTCATAACATTAATACGAAAAAATTTTGTGAAAAAGTTTATAAGATTTTTTTCTCCAGTTGCCTTAATAAAGAAAAACATAAATAGTTTTTAATACTGTTTATGTTTTTGTCGAATGGCAACAGATTTTTATATGATAAATATTATAAAGATAAGCGATACTGTTGAGATTTTAAAAACACTAACCTTTTTTCGTAAAAATTTCTTAAAAACCGTCCTTAACTACATCGAGTATAGAGATGTGCTAAAAAAATTAAATTTATTAAATCCTGATATATCTTGTGGTCCAGACCATATTTGAAGAGTGGACTTGCAAAACCAGATAATTCACTTTTTTTTCATTCTGAGATAATGGCAAAAAAATGTTTTCTAGTAAATCGAATAGCTAAAAATAAAAAAATTAAAAGCTAAACAATAGATATCATTAAAAGAATTTTAAGATCTTATTTTTATAAGTTTGATTTTATTTTTATTACAAAATGAAAAAACGTTTTATCTGGTTTTGCATGCCAATTATTTTTTCTATCTGGTTTTAATCGGAAATTTATTTCTAACTGGTTTTCAAAAAAGCTTTATGAAGTCAACTTGATAGTGACGACTTTAATAATCAATATAATTGTGCAAAATGTTCCTCTGCCTTAGAAAATAAGTTATTTTAACGTTTGATACTTTATAGGATTGATGAAGTTAAAACTCAATTGTAACTGTTTAAATGTGGCTTTTGTGATTTTAGTAAATTTTTGTGTATATGAGTTTTTTCTTAAATAACATCCTCTATTTTTATAAAACGATTTTAAAACAGAATGTTGATTAGATAAAATATTTGTCTTTTGCATCGACAATATTTTTTTTTATCTGGTTTTGCACGGACAGAATAATTTGAGGCAGGTAAAAATTTTTTAAAATGGTTGCTTTTAAATTTAATTTTGATTTGTAAAGTTGTAGGAATATTAGCTTTTACAATCGATTGTCACTTTAACTTTTAACTAATAGAAACCAAAAGGACAATATTTTATCATTGTGGAATGCTGTTTGTAGTAATTTTCCTTAAGGATCCTTAATTGGACCTTTAATAATCATTGTTTATACTATTGATGTGTATGTTACAATAAAGAACGATTGTAAATTACATGCTTAATGACATTAAAATCATATCAAATTTGGTTTTCTTCAACGACGGTTCACTGTTGCAAAACGAAGTTTAAAAAGTGTCTGATTGTGTTAAATCAAAGACGTATTAAAAGATGGAAGTTTAACTCATTGTTTAAAAGCCAAGATATGCTCGCTAGTAGTTGTTATAAATACCATTAGCCAAACAATAGGAAGCATTTGTGTCACGTGGTATTACTTTTATAAGATTATACATCAAAATGACAACTGTCTCATCTATCTAATTAAATATAAAAACTTTATTATATAAAGTATTATGGTTAAAATATTTTATTATTTTGTTAAGCAATATTCTATATATTCAATTACCCTTAAATAACTCCTGTATAACGATATAACAAAAAGTCTTTAGTTCATATGATTCTATAACTCTACTTTTAAAAAAAATTCAAATACAGAAAAATATCAAAACAAAGTTGTGAGATAAAAAACGATTTGATTTCTGTCAAAAAAGTAAAAGTTTATATCTTTAAGACATTAGCAAAATTTAATTGACAACAATCTCTAGTTTAATCTATAAATCATCTATGATATGACCTACAACACGTAGAAAATTATTTTTACTTTACAATATTCATTTTAGTATACCAAATATTGTATTTTTACAAAAATATTATTTATAGAAATGTCAAGAGCGAAAGTCTTAACATCTCCACCTCTATCTAATGCATGATAAAACCTATAAATTATTACTGTAAGCAAATCAGATGTAAAACAGAAAGATCATAATCCATATTGATGATTAGATAGCAAATTATTAGATTCAAGGTAAAAGATTAAGTGTTTGTTAATTAAAGATTCAAAAACTTTGCTTATGATAGAAGACTAATGGGACGGTAGTTAGACGAGTCAAATCGCTCTCCGGAATTTTTGAAAATAGGGATAACAGATTTATTTATTTTATTTTGTTATAATTTTGCCGTAGAAAGTTACAATTTATAAAATAACATAAATAATAAGAAAAATGGCTGGAGCAAGAAGAAGACATCAGTTTGTTTTATCATCGAGCCACATGGTGACTTCATTACAGGTCGTTTTTTATAATAAAATATATAAAATCATGATAAATGCTTGTGATAAAATATATAAAAATGTGTATATAAATATAAAAACAAATGCCGTTTTCAAGCAGGCTGGAAAACAAGACTATGATAAGCACTTGTTCAATGGTTTTGAAAGTGTAGACGACAGCTCCGGAGAAAACTTCTTCAAGACTTTAGCATGTGGTCTGTCCGGACCACCAATTGTAGACGAGTCTAAGCAGGAAATCACTTTAGAAACTGGATTGATACGAATGTTAAGCATTGGAACAACCTGCTTGTCGGCTATATTATGTAGAACGCAACTAGTGGAATCAAGAGATGATATTGATGAAAAATTCTTAACAATGGAGTAACAGATTTGCCCTTTTTATAGATCCTGTTAAAGATTCTCCAGAAGTCACAAGAGCCTAATTTTTGAGATGAATTATGAGATTTATGGCCTGAGAATAGCGGCTTTGGCGTTACAAAACTTTTTTGTAATGGTTTCTAACAACAGAGGTCTGTTTTCTGGAGAATCGTTTTGCTGATAGATTTGGAAATAATGGTTTCGATTGGAAATTGCAGCAGCACAATGTGAGGAAAACCATGGAGAAGAGTGAGGCTTGACTTGGAATCGTCGAGAGCGAATAAAAGATTCCAAGCCAGCCTGAATCCAAGAAGTTACGTGAGAAACACATTTGTTTGCAGGTAGACAAAAGATTTCTACTCAAGGGCCATCACGTATAAAATCACGAAGAGTCCCAGTCAACTTTAACGTAGTTTCACGAGGTTTAATGCAAAATCCCAAAGTTTTTAAAAACTTTGGGATTTTGCATTAAAAAACCTGGTTGCAGGTATTCATGAAAATAAACTTTTACTATGCTCGATGTGGCTACGTTTTTTCTTTTGGTTACATAATCTTTATGTTTTTTATTGAAAATTTATTTATAAGCAAAACAATGTTCGTAATGATTAGTGGATAAAAGTATTTAATAGACTACAATAGTACAATACATAAAATTGAGCAAATCAATGAACTTGTAGCTAGATTTTAAAGATTGAAAATAAGCAGGTAAAGATGCTTTAAGATGCATCCTCTCGTAGTAAATTGTTACTCGTAGACAATTATTAACGATAATAAAAACAAGAATAAACGATAGTAAAAAATTTAATACTATTTTTGCCCATTTTAACCGAAGAAAAATCATCGTGATGTAAAAATTCTAAAACATGCAGTATTCATAAAATTCAGTATTAATAAAAAGTTTAAAAAAATACAAAAATAAAATAAATAGGTAAAAAAGAGTTTAAAAGGTAGATAATTTGAACAAGCTGTCGCATAATCGTGCAAATATTACATAAATAGTTTGACCAACTAAAGAAATGTAACGAAAAACTTTTTTTTACATATTAAATTCTGCATGGGCTATAAATCGCCCTAATAATCAATAAATAGTTTACAATTTTTTACTTATGATGAGCTGTGGTCATGTAGTCATGCAGTGTAGTCGATTAATAGTAGGTTTCTTGCTCCACCCAACCTAAATGAATACAGCACACAATCTTTTAATTATATGAAATCAATTTTAAGATCCTTTTAAAATTTGATCAACTTGTTGAAAAAAATTTAATAAATTAAAGAACAAACCTTTAGGATATCTTCTTAAAATATATCTTCTAATTTCGTCACTAATAATGATTAAGAATGTGTAAGGAAGCCCAGTAAACCACCAAGAGAAATTCATAGGACGTAAACGAAGTCCCATATTTATACCAGGAGTATATTGAAGGAAAATCGCAAGAGCAGTTTCAAAAAACAAGCCAAAATTTAAAAACCAATTTCTAAAAAAAATATTATGTACAGACAAAATGAGTCACGTGCTCAAATAATAATAAAAATAAAAAATTTTACACACACCCCATTCCTTGACTAAAAAGTGAAAGTTTTCTAGTTTTACTGGCGATAAGCGTTCCCCATTGAACAACAACAATGGTAGTAAAGAAAGCTGTTTGACATGTTAACTCCAATTCTTTACGCTGATGGTAGGTCCATTCGTTTCCATAAGAATCTGGCAAAGTATTAACATTTATATCATCCCACCTAATCCTTATTCCAAACAAGTCTGATGGCATAAAACCATTTTCAGCCATGATTACAAAATATGTAAAAAAACCGCCGCAAGCCTACAACATTAAAACATGTAACTTTATAAAAATAAAAGAAAAAAATCAATGTTTATACATATATATATATATATATATGTAAATATATATATATATATATATATATATATATATATATATATATATATATACATATACACACATATATATATATATATATATATATATATATATATATATATATATATATATATATATATATATATATATATATATATGTATGTATGTATGTATGTATGTATGTGTATATATATATATATATATATATATATATATATATATATATATATATATATATATATATATATATATATATATATATATATATACACATAAATACATATAGAATCATTTGGGGGCTACTTCGCCTAAAGAAAAAGTGATAGGCATGTAGCATTTAATATTTCAGTCATGTATTTAAAAATTAAAGTGATATTTTCAGGATTTTTGTCTGGCAAACTGTTCAGCAATGACATCAAATAAGAGTTTTCTGGTCACTTCACTTTCAATACACATCAAAGAAAGCATGACGAGCCGCTCTTGATTAATTCTAGTACGACATTCATTTTTTACACACTTTAATTGCAAGAAAACTTCTGGCAAATGGTACATGAGAAACTTCTTTCTCCTGTACAATTTGCCACCATTAGGCTGAGCTGCAACATTCGGAAAAGTTTCTACCAAACCATCATTAGGCAAAATGCGGTACATCAATCATTTTACTTTTTGTACGTTCATCAGTAACAATGGTATCTAGAGCAGATTGATTATTCTTGTAACCCTTCCACAAAGCCCTTGTTGCATCAGCATGTGTTGACTAACGTGTGCATAATTTTTTAGGCACTGGTATTATGTTTTTGGTTAACTCTTTTGTCAAGATTGTCCATCAATGAGTGTATACTTTGCTTTTTGTATTTCATCAACAATAAACATAAGTAGTTTTTGATCCATCAAATTAATGAGTTAATTCACAGACAGTAGAAGATAAGTATGTTTTACCGTGACCTGGGTTGCCATGCTTATCAATATGTGCAAATAACCAATACTTAGATTTATTTAAGATGGCTTTCTTATGTTCTTTATCAACACAACTAGTCACACCGCGTACAAATGCTAAACAAGACGATATATGACTTTCACTATTTTCATGTAGGTCGACATAAGATTTTTCATGTAGCTCGACATGACCATTTTTCCAATGATTAAATCCTTTTGTAAAAGGATAATTATTTTCATATCCAATAAAAAAAACTTACACTTGAAACAATAAACATGTCCATTTGATGATGAGTAGCAAAACCAGGTAAATGCAGAATTCTCACCAGGTGATTTATGATGTCAAGTGAATAATGAAAGAGTAGAATAGAGGTTGCTATTTATACTGCTGTCTGAGAGTTTCTTTATGTTGACATTTAGTACCACCGGTGCCGATAAAATGAAATTGGATGTTTGATGAAACTGTTTTCCATAAATCAAATCAAATCAAATCAAATATATTCTGAATAAAGTTGTTACATCAAGGATATTTACAAATAGTAATTTGTACTAATATAAAGTAAACACCTGTCAAAATAAATAAAAATAAGATAGAGATAGTAATAATAATAATTATAATACAAGTAGGAATAATAAAAGTAATAGTAGTGATTATAGTGATAAAAAAAATAATAGTAGCTATTATAAAAAGAATATACTATAATAATAATAATAATAATAATAATAATAATAATAATAATAATAATAATAATAATAATAGCAATAATAGCAATAATAATAATAATAATAATAATAGCAATAATAGCAATAATAACAATAATAATAATAATAATAATAATAATAATAATAATAATAATAATAATAATAATAATAGTAGCAATAATAATAGCAATAATAACAACAAAAATAATAACAACAACAATAATAACAATTACAATAATATTCATTATGATATAAATTATGATAATAATAACAACAACAGTGATAAGGAATACTATAGAAACATATCAGTTTATAATAATAAATTTAATAATTGGTATTAAAATTAGTAATATATCACGATAGAAATGAGAAAAATTAAAAGATGAATAGAAGCACTGCGTTATAAATAATAAGTTGTAAAAAGGTATAAGATTTATAAAGAGTATTTTTCTAAAAAATGGTTAAAGAGAGCAGTTTTAAATTTTGAGTATGATTTAAAAGATTTTAATTGGGAAGGGAGATTGTTCCAGGTTTGTATGCTTTTATGTTGTATGGATTCGTAGCCGTAATGAACAGTTCGGTATTTAGGTACAGATAATTTAAAGTTGAGAGCAGATCGTAGAATATATTTACAGTTTTTCCTATAACTAAAAAAGTTGATAAATGTAAGAGGTAAGTTATTATGATTTTGGTTCCAAACAAATAGACAATTTGATAGCTGAATTGTTTATGAAACTCAGATCAGTTTCATAAACAATTGGCAGGTCTACCAATGCTTGTTCTTGTACATGTTTAGTGTCAACGTCTGCTTTAGCTGAAGCTGGTTCAAGATCAACTGGTTCTTGATTTTGAACTTCTCTGATTTTACATTCGCCTTGACTTTCTGGTTCTGGATTTTTACTTTTCTACTTCTGAACTGTTGTACAATGAAAATAAGTTTTTTTAGATGAGGATGCTTTATCTCTTTTTTCTTTGGCCTCTTTATCCAGGGCTTTTATCAATTTACAGTCCTAATCTCATACTTTCTTCAAAAGATCGTACAATTACAATACACACCCAACAGTCAGAGACAGTCTACAAGAAAAATTATTGCTCTCAATCAATCAATATATATTTCTGAATACAAAATTTGTTACAATTCAAGCTCATTTATAAATAATAAACTAATCTGAAGTAAACAACAAAAATTAATTATGGAAATTATAAGCATTAATTGTATTTTTTTAATAAAAAGGAAAAACTGGTTTTAAAGGTTGAAAACGAATTGAGAGCTTTTAGTTCATAAGGATTTAGTTCATAATTTCTTTTCTAATCAATTCAGTCATTTCAATGAGAGCATGAGTTGTGGAGTGATTGGCACGAAATCCATACTGATAGGAGTAAAAGCATTTAGATTTTTCAAGAAAAGCATAGAGCATTTTATGAGTGTATTATGCATCACCTTCTCAAAGAGTTTATCAATATTAGAAAGCACGGAGATGGGTCAGTAATTAGTGAAATCTAGTAGAGAGCCTTTTTTAAATATTTGGAATAACTTTGGCAACTTTAAAAATATCTAAGAAAATACTACTTTTAAAAGAGTTATTTATAACAGTACAGAGAGGCTTTGAAATAGTGTGTGGGACTATTTTAAGGAGGAATGTAGGTACTATTAGGACCAAGACTTTTTTCAGTTTTGAGCCTGTTTGTAATGAGACCAGATATTTCATTTTCAGTTACAAGATTAATAAAAAAAGATTTAACATTTGGAGTGTTAAGAAAGTTACTAAACACGCATTTAGAGGTATGGCTTTGCTAAGTAGTTTGTTATGTATAGTGTTAAAAAATTTCTTAAATATATTAGATAAGGCAGTGTGATCAATGATAAGATTTTCGTTCAATTTAAGTTTAAAAAATGTATTGTGTATGGAAGGTCTAATAATAATGATTTCTTTTATTCCCTTCCAGGTGTTTTTAATATTGTTCAGATTATTATTAAAATATGTAATAAAGTATGTTTTTTTGCTAAATTTTAATAAATTGGAAATTTTGTTTCTATAAAATTTAAATTTTGCAAATAACTCATTTTTCTTATAAATATTTTTTGAGTTTATAAACTTTTTATAAAGTTTGTTTTTAACTAAAATAGATTTAAGTATTCTATACTTATATCTTTTTGATTTTAGGTTTGATTTTTGATTTTAGGTTTTGATTTTAGTTTTATTTGTTGGTTGGTTAGTATTTTGTAAGGAGTATGTTGGTCTAAGATTTCATCAAATGTTTTTAAATTAAAGTTTATGGATTTATTAACATCATCATCTTTTTAAATGGAGGGTTCCCAGTTGATATCAAAAATTTTTTCAATAAATATACTTTTATTAAATTTTTTGAAGCATTGTCTGTAAGTTTTTACTTTTTTTGGAGTGGTTGGGTATGCCAGAATGAAAATAAATTGTGCCATGTGGTCTGAAGTTGAAATCATAAGGTTACCTGAGAATTGATCAGTTAAATGAAAGTTCATGAATATGTTATTAATGAGCATTTTTGATATAGCTGTTATGCGTGATGGTAAAATTATAGAAAGGCTTAGTGAGTAAGATGTTAAAGAATCAAGATATGTAGAAACAGGGTTAGATTCATTGTGACTTAATAAATCCATATTAAAATCCCCCATTAGAAAAATCTTTTTTTTTTCGTTACTTAACTTTTCAAGTAGAGGAGTTAAGTGAGAAAAAGTAAATTCATGTTGATTCATCGAGGGATGATGACAAATGCAGCCAATTATTATATTTGATTCACAAGGTTTTGCAACTTCAAAAAAATAGACTCTAAATATTTAGAAGAGTAAATCATAAAATCATTGTGAACTACCTAGTTTAAATTTGAGTGCAAGTGTAAAAGTGCTCCATCTTTTTTAGCCTCAGTAAGACAATGCTCAATAATAAACCCGTTTATGTATGTTAAAATGAATATATAGTTCTGAATTAGAAACCACAGTTTTATTGAGATTAATAACGATCTTTAAAGATGTTTTTATGATTACTTGGAGTCTCAAAAGAACTTAATGAACTAGTAGGTATATTCTTGCATAATAATGTTGACTTAATCTCCAAGTTGGAAATCAAGCTAAAGGCCATACTCTTAGATAAACAGCTATAACAATACAAATCTGACAAGTTATACAAAAGAAGATTATAAGAGTCTGCATCAATATGGTTACACTTTGCATGGATCCATGAGTTACAAAGATCACATTGGATGGCTCTTTGATTATTAGTTATATTTTTATGATAAGTGTTGCAGAGAGACTTAAAAGCCATAAT